GAGAGAGAGAGAGAGAGAGAGAGAGAGAGAGAGAGAGAGATTTACTTACCGTTAGTAATTTACCAAAATTGGGTTTATCAGTTGCGGGTCCTTTAGTACAATCTCCGCCCCAACAGACCGGGTATTCCCAGTCGAGGTCCAGACCATCAAAACCATATTGTTTTAAATATGCGATAGTATTTGTGATGAACTGAGCCCTACGGCTGGCATTATTAACCAGATTAGAGAAGGATTGGTCGGAAGCACCGGCACCGCCAACGGCTACAATCACTTTGAGCTCATGATTGCGAGTTTTAAGTGCGTTTAGGCGCCGGTATATATCGGGTCGGGCACTGCCGGTGCTGTCGACGATCACATTTTTAACCTCGTCCAATTTGTGAAACGAAAAGTGCAGGTGCGTGCAAAGGGTTGGGTCCATGTTTTCCGGTGGTAACTGTGCCAGGTTATACAAATAGCAAACCACACGGGGTTTACCTACTGTCAGTGCTAACTGAGCGCATACCAGCGTAACGTATAATAAGACTTTCATTATTGGTATTATTTAATGATGAATAAAAATCAAGTTAATAAAATATTATTAAGTATATTAACTATAAATGTAAAGTACTGTATAGTTTAGTATAAAAATTGGCTGGTTTATATAGCAATGTAAAAATATTATTTTATCAGTTTGTTTAATAAAGTCAATTATTTTTTGTAATTAATCCCCTGGTAAGAAACAGATTTTACAATCATTTATCATTATTGTTTATCAAATATATCATTTTATAAAAAAATCTGTAATTTTGTAATGCATTATTTTTATTAAATCTATAAATAAATCAGTTAAAAACTGCAAGTTGTAACATTTGCGCATATTTTAGTCGCCAAAATTAAAAATGTAATTGATGAATTTATATTTATACTCCCCTAATGATTATATTAAATCGTTTTACATATATATTTTAATATGATACATATAAATATACAGTTAGTATTCTAACTTAATTGCAAACCATTTTAATGAATTCAGCCCAGCTAACTAACAGAAGTTGTTATGTATGTAGGAATGCATATTTTGCAACAAGCATATTATTATAATAAAATTGCTTATAGTTAATTATACTTAATATTAAGAATTAGTTTTCCAAAAATGAGTTGTGAATCCGGTAAAATATTTTACCTATGTTTACAAGAATGGGACGGAACGGGAATACATAACCTCAGGACCGGACTGAATAGGACTGACGTTTAGTTACAATTTCAAAAACTTATAAAAATCACGTGACCTGATTTGTACTTTTAATTAATTAACGTTTTAAAAGTATAATTATTTTATTGTGCTGTTACCTGTAAAATATTATAATAATTACGGACAAATATTTTATTATAAATTGAATATTTATTTAAAAATTAACTAGAAAATAAAAATCTTTTAAAGAGAATTGTATTTATTAATTTATCGTAAATACACTTTATTAAGTGTATTAGAATATAATGATTTCTAACATAACAATATGTAATTTATATTTATATTAAATTTTAATCATTGAATAAAACTTTTAATGATTAAACGTATGTTTATTTTCGTTCGCAGCCATAAGTCTCGGGTCCACTGCCGGTGCCAAATAAGCCATGATTGATGGCCCGCAGCATAGGGTAGCTCTTAGAGCAGCACTTGGGGTGGAAATCATCCTGGGTTATTTCCCATACGATTATACCACCGTAACCATTATCCTTTACCCATTTGCTCTTGCTGTTAAATAAATTAAAGTTAAATTAAAATTGATTATAATAGTTTATATTCAAACACAATTAAAATAAATGGTAAGTTAAGTTAAGTAAATTTAGTATATTACAATTTGCATACTTAAGCATATAAAAATTATAATATAAAAATATATAATTGGTAATAGTTAACTACTATTATATACAATAATTTCAGATAATAATTTAATTCTAAATACTGCGATAGTTGTAGGAAAAAATTACCAATGCTTGCAACTCTCCTTTATATTTGAAACTTTTTTCATTTAAATAATAATAAAAATATTTATCTAAAATAATTACAGTTTAACAATATGACATTTTATATTTTATATTCACTAAATTATATAACGCAAATAATTATTATCTAGTAACATTTTATAATTATTTTAATTCCAAAAATTTATTTAACATGTATAGTCTGTATAACTAAATATTAAAACTGTAAACTCATTTAAATTACCATTCAAATAAAGAACAATAAAAGTGTTGTATAATTTATGGCCCCATTCTTAAGCGACTATTTTGTATTTTTAAATATTAACAAAACTGATTAATTGATTATTATTACTATTATTACTATATTTTAAAAATCAAATTAAAAATACTAAATAAATCTAAAATTTAAATTCTAAATATTATAGAAAGCTTGTAAATTTAATTAATAAAACTGTAAAAAATAATAATATAAAGATAAATTTAAATCATATTGAATACACCTGGCTTATAATTGGATTAAATATTATAAATATATTGCGTCAGAGATGTTTTTATTTTACAAACAAGAAAATAATACTCACTCATAGGCGGCGTAGGGGTCGTCATAGCCCACCCACGTTAGCTCGTGGTAAGAGATGGGGTCGTGTCCCTGATCCGGGTCCTCCTTAGCCCAACCCTTATTCTTAATCAAATCACACATTTCACTGTAGAAAGCGTTGTCGCCCTCGCCATGGGGTGTACGGCCCTCACCGGCAATGGGAGCCCCGATATAGTGCTTGTTTTTATCGGCCAATTTGAATGTGTGTCCATAGAATGGGACCCCCATTAGTACTTTCTCTTTGGGTATACCTTTGTTGACGTAGTACTCGGACCCGGATTTGCAGAACGAGAACTTGGAGTGATGGCCAGTCTTGCCCTCCCACGTGCCCGCCTCGTCATAGGTCATCACACTTATGTAATCGAGTGAACTGTTTATGTACACAAACAATTAGGTTTGAAAGGGTTTTAAAAATACTGAAATAATAAAATATATTACCAATAAAACATACTGAATTAAATATTTAATATAAATTATTAAAATATAATATTTATTTTACCATGTATTTTTCTCTAAATTAATATTTTTAAAATATATTTTAATATTGTTAACTTTAACATTGTATTTTAATTATAGCAAAATATGAAAATATATCACTTACGCAGCCATAGCCGGGAAGTCATAGGCGTGATCAGCGGTACCGCCGTTAACGCCGGCCACCACTGCAGCTGACAGTGACAGCCGTGGGTTCTCTTTGTCGAAAGCGGTTCTCAATTCCTATTAAAATACAATTATTTATTAGTGAGAAAGAGAGAAAGAAGAGAGAGAGAGAGAGAGAGAGAGAGAGAG